ACTTGGCAAGTTGGGCGTCCAAGATCTGTACGCACCAACGTGAGGGGGAGTATTGGCGTGAGCTGTAAAACTAGGGGATATCCCTTGAATTCAGGGATAAMTCTCADCBTAAVTYGTATRTAACTAGGAGAGGTAGAACCAGAATCTATGTATAATTAGGAGATGTTTGTATTATGAGTATATATATTTCTCAACCCCTGCAAAGGAAAAAATAAGAAGAACAGAGGAAGCGTTTCTCATTCTACTCGAGTTATCATGAACATAGTAGATCTATGTCTATGAACATAGTAGATCATTCATAAATCTACAACATAATCAATTTTTAGAGGTAGATCACAAGAAAAACCTAAAATTTTCATTTTTTTCAGATTTTTTAATATTATGGAATTTCTTCAAATATTCACAAAGATTTACATATAAGAACAAAATAAATAGGATTTTTTTTGCACAAGAATAACACATCAACATACACAAAGATGCTTCTAAGCATCCAAATTAAAAAAACGCAAAAACATTGGCTGAGTATAAAAAAAATTGAAAAAATATACATATTTTCGCTCATTTTTTAACAATCTTGAAAAACTTGTTGGATCTTGCAAATATATGGATGTTTTGGTGGATTTTGGCTTGATTTAATATCTAGGAATGGTATGAAGGTTTCTAGAGAGTTTGGGGAATCAGAAGCCCTCTTTCAAATGAAGTTTTTTTTTTTTTGTTTTCCGCAACAATAAAATCGCATTGTATCAACTGATATGTTACGTATCAACCAATACAGCACCGAAATAGGCTGATACTCACCGAAACATTATTGATATGGACATGATATACTTCCGGCACGATGAAAAAGAACGGTACTAAGGATTTGGTATTGTTTCCCATACCGAAACCTCAAAGATATGGTATGTATCATCTGATACGTAATGAAACATCTCCCATATTGTATGTTTCCCTTCACTGGGAAAGTAAATCTTGATTGTGAGACTGGGTAGCGTCGTCATTCAAAAGTATTTTAGGAGGGGTTTAATGATTAAAGATAGGGATTCTTCTGAGTCCCTTTAAATTAGGGGTGCTCACAGTTCGGTTAATCGAACTATGGGCCTTTTTTTAACCGAATCGGTACAGTCGGTTTTTAGAAAACCAGTAACCGAAACCAATTGGTTAACTAGTTGATCGGTTCAATTCGTTAATTTTTTGGTTTTTTTTTTATTTTTACAATATATATTATAAAAAAATATATATAAATATATAATAGAAAATTATATATATATATATATATATATATAAAATATTATATTTTATAATAATAAATACTATATCATATATTATAAATATATATTTATATATATAATACATATTTATTAATTTATAATATATAAAAAATATTAAATATGTAAAAATATATGATACCGGTTGGTTTGATTAACCACCGGTTTTCTATATTGGTTAATCGAAACCGAATCGATACCTTTGATTTTTTAAAACACCAAACCGATTGATTCGATTAACTGATTTTTCAGTTCGATTTCGATCGATTCGATTTTCAGTTTTTTTTGCTCACCCCTACATTAAATGGTGTGTTATAAGGTGCAAAAGATTGATATATTATATTATATAATTATATATTATAATTGTACAACAGACATTGCATATTTTGAATTTAAAGGAAAATTTTCAATATGTCTAAAAATACACAAAATCTTAAGTTGCTGGAAGAGTGGAAGCGGAAGGATGTGAAACCGGAACAACTTTGACCAACCAGAACTTAAATGACTTTCCCTAAAAAATAATGATAATGAGCAGCTAGATTTGAGCTGGTGGATAGCTAAATAATGATGTGAGTTGGTGGAGGATGATTGGTTTGGCACTGACAACTGGCACCTTTATTGTGGTGAGTTGGATCTACGAAAATATTCCCAATGCATGGCTGTAAAAGGCTGTAAGGGCCAAATCGAAACTCTAATAAGTTTTCTCAAACGAAGAATAAGTACACTTCAAATTGTCACTGTACCAACAAATAGCGTACATGATAGTGGGATCATTTCCAGCCCGGGCCTGCATCAGGTCCAGATATTTTAGTACCGGGCCTGGGCCCAGTACTTCAAGCCTAGCCCAGTATTTATATTCTTAAACATGTTAGACTAGCTGGTACATGGGCATTGCCGTCCAAATTGAGAAATTCAGTTCCACGCCAAATCCCTCCTAGGGTTGATAATAGATAGAATGATGCAAAAGAAGGCACATAGCAAGCCCATAGGGAGCACTTCATTCATTGGTTTGACGGTGCTCCTACACCCCCCTAAACAAAAGACAATCCAAATTCGGTTGCCATTAGACCTGTTCACGGGCCAGGTTTTGGGCCCAATTTTATACTATCTTGGGTTTGGGCTTCGGGCCGGGTCCATTAGAATTTTGACAAAAGGTAAGTCCAAGCCCAGCCCATGAATAGGTCTAATTGCCATGTCTTGCCAAAGGTATACAAACAGGACCCTATAATTTAGAATGAGTGAAGTTGCTAATCTAGTTTTACCAAGTGTCTGTTTGATTCATTTTTGGAATTAGAATCAACATCCCTTGGAATCAGAATTAGAATGGTCTATTTGCATATCCTGTTTGGTTTGGACAGGAATCGGAATTAAAATTGGAATAAGCTGGACTGAGATCTTATTCTCCAAGGGGAGGAGGGAATGATTATTCACTCAAATTGGAGAATGCTATTCCACCATGAATGAGAACGGAATTCCAATTCCACCCAATCATAACAGTTGGAATCGAAATGGGCCTGATATTTAGTTTAGACTGTGGTAAGGAAATTCAACAAAAAGCTTGAAAATGGTTCTTGTGGAATTGAAACCACCTAATTATATATGCTGGTTAGACCCATTATTGGTGCATGGTGACGGACCAAAAGCAAGAGTTCAAGAATAGACCTTATTTAAGGTTTCCCCAAACCCAAATCACTTGTCTGTTCTAGTAAATTTCAAACTTTCATGAAAGAATAGACCCTGTTTTTAATACTCCCCTTCAGGTATTCTTTAGTTTAAAGGAAGGTCACAGAGGCTTTCTGCCTTTCCATCTGACAGGTTCTACTCAAATCCTATAACCCCTGATCATCAGACCCTATATGAGATTGTAATTTTCACATGATCGAAAGACTACCCACAAAGCAAAAGCAATAAAGTATGAAAGAAAGTGACTTATCAGCTGATTAGGCCTGCTAAGAAGAAACAGTAGGGCGGCTTCTCTCTCTCTTTTATCGTTCTTCGCTCATGGGAGATAACAAGTTTATTGATAGAGTGGTCCAAACTCCAAAGACTCCAAAATCCTTCTTAATTACCCTACACTTCCTACTGACCTTGTTGGTGAATGGTGGTCCTTGCTCCGCTCCTCTACACCATCATTCATCCCCCCCTTTCTCTCTCAATTATGTAGGGTTGATATCGATCTAATGGGTACTGGTTTAAAGGATCGGATCCTACAATAAGTCTGCAGATTAGCCATGATTTGATAATGGGTCTTTGTTGTATTCAGTAATCAGAGTACACAGGAGTGGTTGATTGGGCGGTGGTGCCCAGTGGTAACAGATGACATGTCCCCTAAATCTAATTTCTAGGCCGTAGAACCCATCCTTGTCCATGGGTGTTGGGTTTATTCACTGTTGAGGCACATTTGGTACTGAGAAAGTGAGAATTGTTTGGACCTATGCGCTTTCTTCTGATATGGACCTAAATTGAACATAGAAGAGGTGAAACAAGTCTTGGACTCCTCCAAACCCTAGTATTTTGTTTATAAATATGCCTATGAAACCCATTTTGGACTTTTGTCTGAGCTCACCCTTCAAAATGAGTCACGACAAAATTTCATTGCTCAGGGTTACAACTTACAAGATATGTTGTTGCAGGGTGAATTGGTAAGATTTATAGACATAATTGGTAAAAAGGGTTGGTCCATCATGATGCTATCAGCCTTGGTTCTTCAATCCAATCTAAATGGTTGAAATCTCCATTTCAGACATGCATTATTGGATGTTTACACTATTGATTCTATTGAAAATTTTCTTTCTTTTTTCTCCTTTTGCAAGTGATGATATGTCATCATCATCATCAAAGCTTTATTCCAACCATATGGGTCAGCTACATGAATCCTGTTTTGCAATTCTTTTCTGTTTAATACCATATCCATTGTTAAATTATATTCAAGTTGCAACAAATCACTTCTCATCTTACAAATTTCTAAACCTTTCTACACGTATATAATGTTAGAATTCAAAATTTGATTCGGTTGAGAAGCCTGAGAACTGATTCAGAATCTACAAAAGTTCTGAGCTTCTATGGCCAATACATAAATGAGCTGGACCTAATGCTAATGGATTTTAATCCAAACCCATTTCACCCTGTCTAGCTGTTTCAAATCCTCAAACGTCATTGGCTTCTTTGTTACTCTTGTCCTTCATTCATCAAAGTTCAAACCATTAAAAGCATCTACCAGCTCAGAAACAAAGAGAGTAGGAAAGAACAGAGAAAATCTAACTTTGTCTTGCATGCATATGCGTGCATGGAAATGGTCCCCTCCAAGTCTAGAACCTGATTTCCTGATCCTAACCCTAACTAATCCCACCCCTTTAACCGCCATTACTGACTCCTGATCTCCCTGAAAAGCTTAAGCCCTCAAAGCCTTGACCATCTCTAAGAATTAATAAAGCCTTCAATAAATTAACAAGGACAAAACCCACAATTGCTTTCTCCCTTGCTTATCTCTACTACTGTTCTGATTTCTGCTCTTATTGTTGTTATTGCTATTATTTCTTTACATCTTGAAAGGCGTGTCATGCTTGCTCAAAGTGCAAAGGGGATCGTAGTGCAAAGGACCTCATAGATATTGAGTCCTCTTTCCCTACTCTCTCCCTAGTCTGAATTCTGATCCCACTTCTGCTTTTCATATAAATGCAAGGATACCCTTCTGCATCCCGTCTCTTCTTTATTTTCAATCTCTTTTGGATGGATAAAGACAACCCATCTCTTCATTGTTCTCCTCTTCGTTTCAATCTCTCTGGCTCTTTAATTTAACACTCTCTCTGTTTATTTATTCACTAGTCGAATCATGGATCTAAGCAGGAGCCATTTTCCTTCTTGTCAACATCTCTATATTTGCTTTGGTGGGTTCTGTTTCTCTCTTGCTTATTGACACTCGCCTATGTTGTATGTTGCGAAAATCCTGTTGAATTCTTTTTACCAGTCATGATGAAATCTTCTGTTTCTTGTTGGTATCTCCTTTCCTTACCTTTAATGGGAGTTAACATGACTCCAAGATCTTCTCTTTTTGTTCATGAGAGACTGTAGCAGACCCTTGTGGAATAATCATGATGAGATAGTTAACCTGCATTCAAGCTTAGTCCATTTCTCTTCTTGGGTTCTCTTTTTGTGCCTTGAATCATGAAGAGGTTCGTCGTCAGCATAGAACCCGTTTTCCTTCTCCTTCTCCTACTATTGGATGTTTCAGGTTCAGACGAAGCGGACATGTCGATAGCTCCAATGGAGCAAAGAGAGCGAGAAGCTTTGTATTCTGCTATTCAAGGTTTCGTGGGGAGGTGGTGGAATGGCTCGGAGCTCTATCCCGATCCTTGCGGCTGGACCCCGATACAGGTGCTGCAGAACCCCACCCTACCAAAAAGACCAAGAAAAACTAAGAAAAGATACGAGCAAAAATAAAAGAAAAACAAATGGAAATGGAAATTAAAAAGTAATAATCAAGTCATACAACTGTTCATGAACTTTGTTTTCTATTTTTTTTTTTTTCTGAAAGCTTTCCTCTAGCTCTGAAAGTCTGAAACTTGTCTACACGTAAGAGATTATAATATTGTAAAAGAAAGAGGTCGATTATAGTATTTGTTAAGCGTATTTGTTTGATAATTCATACTCAACAAATCCATTTATGATACAAAAGTTCAGTTATTTTTGTTACTTGTTAATGCAGTTTCAAGTACATTAGTTGGTCTGCTTACCAAAAAAAGGGACATTAGTTCGGCATTTCTTACCCGTTATTTGGTTAGAAACTGATTTGATCTTTCCTTTATTATTTAAGTAATGTTCTCACTAGTCGAGTAATATCTTTTTTTTTTCTCAGTAACCACTCTCTTCAACTTTCAGTCGCAGAAGGCTCTAGTTTTCAAGCACTAATATGCATGATATCTCACTGTTCATCATTTACTGTCTCGTTATTACCTTTTATATACTCTGGACTCTGGAGTTTCCTACATTGGATCTCAAAATAAAGAAAATGTTTTGGCTCTAGATCGATTTCCTTGGAGGGTTTACCAAGTTTAATCAGTATATAACTATATATACTTGTTTACAGGGAGTCTCTTGTGATTTCATCGATGGGTTCTGGTATGTCACGGACATAAACATCGGGCCAGTCCACGACAATTCATTACAGTGCACCCATAATGCAGAATTCAGGCCGGAGCTATTTGAGTTCAAGCATCTAAAGACCCTTTCCTTCTTCAATTGCTTTGTCTCTCCTCTCCAGCACCCAAGGTCCATCCCTACTAAAAACTGGGAGAGACTAGAAGGAAGCCTAGAATCCTTGGAGTTCCGATCGAACCGAGGTCTGATCGGACAAATTCCAGCCATTCTCGGCAGTCTTTCAAAGCTCCAATCTCTAGTGCTCCTAGAAAATGGATTAACTGGAAAATTACCGATGAATCTTGGCAATCTGCATAGCTTGAGGAGACTTGTTGTTTCCGGGAACCGGTTTTCTGGTCAAATACCGCCAAGTTTGGGAGGGCTAACTCAGCTGCTGATCTTTGACTCAAGCAGGAATTCTCTATCTGGGCCTTTGCCACTGACTTTTGGAGGTTTGACTTCACTCCTGAAGCTTGACTTGAGCAACAATCTCCTGGAGGGAAAGCTTCCAGGTGAGCTGGGGAACCTGAAGAATCTTACTTTGTTGGATCTTAGGAACAACTTATTTTCAGGTGGGTTGACTCGGTCACTTAAAGAGATGATTTCGTTAGAGGAGATGGTCTTATCTAACAACCCGATAGGTGGAGATCTAATGGGTTTTGAGTGGAAGAATATGCAAAACTTGGTCATTCTAGATCTCTCTAACACGGGTTTGACAGGAGAGATCCCAGAAACAATGGCAGAACTGAAGAAACTAAGATTTCTTGGTCTGAACGACAACAATCTCTCAGGCAGTATCCCTGCGAAGCTTTCAGCCATGCCTTGTGTTAGTGCTCTCTATCTGTACAGAAACAATCTGACAGGAGAACTTAAATTCTCTGAGTGGTTCTATGGTAAGATGGGAAGACGTTTTGGTGCTTGGAGCAACCCAAATCTCTGCTATCCAGTTGAGTTGATGGCAACAGGTCGTATTCCTTTTGGGGTAAAACCATGTCAGCAGGAGGCCATCATTTCTGATGCAAGACCGAGAACCAAGTTGGGGTTGGGAATTGAGAACATGAACCAGAGTTACTATTTAGTGGCTTCTTTGGGATTCTCAAGTGGTGTTATTCGTGGGTGTTGGTGGGTTATTTTGGTTAAAGAGATGGTGCATGTGTTTCTTCTCTTGAGTACATTCATATAGAAGAGATGAATGTACAGCTATAGTTTTCTTTCTTTTTTGGTAAACAGCTATAGTTCTCTTGAACTCTTCTGTTTTCCCTTGAAAACTAATTGTTTTTTTTTTTTTTTTAATATTGTTTTTCGTCTACCTACAACATGAAATGGATTAGCTTATACCAATTTCCTCTTCAGCTTCCATTTTGTTATGTTCTCTTCTGCAATACTCCATCGTTTATAAATGAATGCTGGAAGCTATCAAGTTTTTACTGTTATTTCAAAATTCAAACCAGCAAGCAAGTTAAGACATTGGGCCGGGTGGAACAAAAGCCCAACCCAATATGCGTGGGAAGCATTCCCAGACCCCAGTATATCATATAAATCAAATTCATAGTCTTATATCATATAGTGGGGTTGGGCTGAATGTAGAAATCAGGAAAGATCAGGCCCCACCCAAGCAAACTTTGTTGGGGTTTGAAACGATCATACAGGCCAAGCATGTCGGAACTCTAGGCCCGACCCAACAACCCATTGCTTCCAGTTCCCCCAAAGCCCCAAACCAACCAGATAATGCTTCAAACAACAGTCTTGTGTTTTTTCGTGTTCCTGTTTTGATTCTAATCTCTGTCAACCGACAACACTAATGGGAACTTTTGCGAAGGGAAGGAATGAATTAAATTTGGGTTATTGGGATCTGGGTCTTTGATGTTTTCCCAAATGTTATCCATCTTTGATTAGTAACAGAAGAAGCATCTTATTAAAGGAAGAAAGTGAAGGGCGTGGAGAGAGTAGAGTAGAGTCATTACTCATCAGTACGCAGCTGGCAAAGCTGTACTCGTATTCAAGGGTGATAGTACACCTAATGGCAGGCTAGACTCTGGCTTTTCCTTAAATCCGTAGACTCCAGCACTTTTATGAACCCTCTTGGTTAATGCTTCAAGGTGATGATGAGGTAGCAACCGATGAACGAATTGGCAGATCTGTCAGCTTATCTGGGTTATTTGCTCTTGGAACTGTCAAAGAGGGAAAAGAAAATAAAAAAAAAGGGATAACCATGCTTCATGCTTGGTTGGCTGCTGCTGCAGCTGCTTCTGCTAAGGGCTGGCATTTAAGAGGTACAGAGATAGAATTGAATGTTCTTTGGCCTTTATGATGTTTCCTTCTTTATTTGTTTTGTTTCCTACTGAGCATCTTTGCTTGCTTTGGTCCTGCCCACATTACATCCTACATCAACTCAAGGGGTTTAACCAGGGAAAGTTGGTGGTCGGCCAGGTCTCTCAATTTATTTCGTGATTTTTGGCGCTGTTTGGAACCAATGTCATTCGGGCCTCGAGAGGTGTTTTATGAGAAAATGGTGCTGCATTGGCACAAACCGGATTTCCTGCCCACTATTCTCTACCCATATTTTTTATCCGTCCTGAAATGCAATCACACCGCCATTTTGAATTTTTGAATTGTGAGATGTGTGGCTGCAATTCATGGTGGATAGAAAAACTGGGTTGGTATTGGCTTGTTTTTTCTATTTGATGCCATTGATTTTGCTTGTATATAGGTAATTTTCGATGCCATGTTGACATACTTTTGCTATCAACAGTAAAAAAAAAAGAGAAAACATCAAAAGGGTTTTTTTTAGACCATATCTTTCTCGATTTCCAATGCATGGTCTGAAAAAATGATTTTGAAAAAAAACACTTGACCAAATATCAGGGAGAAAAAAATGGATTTCAGATTTGGTGCTATTTTTGAAAGAAAATAGCATCCATTCCAAACATCAGCTTTATTTTGTGCTTTTCTTCTTGGGCTAAGTCTACGGTGCAAAGACTACAAGAAATTTAAAAAAAAAATGAACCAATGATTAAATGATGCTTTTAATACGATTGGTTATTATTTTAATCTATACAATTTATGGTATACCATGGTTGATAATTCTTTAATTTTATAATTAATATCTATTAATTTCATATGTAATCCTTCTGTATCTAACTCTCTCAAACAAAATGGCGAACACCTATAATTTAACTAAGATTCATGGTTTCATTAACATGGGAGATAATGTGAAAAGGGGAGATGATCTCTCATTATGGGGCATTATGGGGGGATGTAGCCAAAGTGAATTCGTTCTTCTAGTGCAAGTTTTAGACAAGCACCCCTCTGCCACTAGCAAAACATAACATTTCAAAAACCTCATTTTTTTGGACAAAGAATTTATGAAACCCAAGACCGCAAGGGATCATCTTCACAAGGAAAAATGCGAATAAAATGGATTAATGTGGAGCTGAGATGGATACGGAAACCAAATTTCCAATTCAGATTTATTATATCATGGATGCATTTGGTTGCGTAAAATGAAAGAAAAGAAATGGGGTTTCTTGAAAATTGTTATTATACATTTTGTTGTCTCTGATTTTTTGTAAATCATCTACCCGACAAAGATGGTAGAGCTCTTCTTTTACACATCAAATCTAACATAAATAAATGATTTATTTTCATATTGAATACCATTTTCTAGGAAAATTATTCATTTCCCCTTCTTTCAAGTCCAAACAAACACTATAGCAACTGACCAGTGCTAAATGTGTCTTGGCATTTCTATTACAAGAATATTAGGACTTCAAATGATCAGATTTAATTTGATTTAAATTCAAATCCAATTTGTTTAAGGTTGGTTTTGCATGTTTGTTTAGCTAGAATCAGATTTTAAACTAAATATAATCCGTTTTTTAATTAGATCAAATTTGAATATTGCTTGTTCTGATTTGCCAGATCCAATCCAATTAACATACAAAAAACTATTCTTTTTTACTATGAAATTTCTTTTAAAATAACTGAACAAGGTGGTTTCACTTGTTTTGAGATGGTCAACTCATTAGGTAGAAAGGGTGTCTTCTGGTTGGCATGGAGACATGGGGGTATAAGTAGAACTGTTATTTGCAAAGCAAACAATGATAGGGACAACGATGATGTATTTAGGCCCCATTTGATTTGCGGGAATAGGGGTTTGGAATTGGAATCAGAATGGGTTATTCTTATTTTAATTGTTTGGTTGGATGGAATCGAAATTCCATTCCTATTTTTGTTGGAATGGCATTTCCCATTTGTAAGAATGGTCATTTCCTACCCTTTCTTTGAGAATTAAATCCCATTCTAGTTTATTCCAATTCCTGTTTTCATTCTTAACTGAACCAAACAGATTATGGGAATACACCACTCCGATTCTGATTCCGATTCTGATTCTAATTCTAATTCCATCTGCAAGCCAAATAGACCCTTACTTTTTTGTTGCAGAAAAGTCAGGAGGTGTGGTTGCGTCAAGGTAACCATAACACACATTTTTTTCACCTTTCACCAAATCAAATTTGGGATTAATTGAAAGTGATGCCTGTGTAATCAGGATGTGGAACCAATAATAATGCCCCGCACTAACCGTTAATTCTATATCAATATTGTCTTAATTCCTAAAGATTTCCAGCCTTGTATGTTCATCAATACCAACCTATTAGGCTATGCAATGTGCTTTATAAGTTTTTTTCGGAGCTATTAGAATATAGATTATGGATGGTATTGGACAAGACCATATTTCCTTGGTAGGGTGCTCTTGTACTGGGTTGCTAAATCATGAAAATACCATTGTTGCACATGAAGGCTTAGGGTAGGGGCGTATCGGGTGAATCAATACTGTTTTTATTTTTTAGTTTTTTATTTTTTTTTTCTGAAACTGGTTTAGGGGGGCCAGTTTAGGGCTCCTCCACCCCCTGAACCGGTCAGACCCCCAATACACCCACTATAGGGGCGTATCGGAGCGGTCCCAGAATGATACGTATCGGCCGATACGTGTTGATACTTTGAACCTTGTTTGGAATCCATCCATACTCACCCAATCTATTGGTGGGTCAATATAGGTCGAGTAACCCATTAGGGTCAATGGAAAGGGTCAGGGTGGGTTGAATCGAGGGTACCCATTTGGGTCAGGATGGATTGGGTCTCACAAGTCAGGATGGGTTGAGTCAAAGTCAGCTCTATCTATACTCGCCGAATCTAAAAAAAGTTACAACAATTGAAGTAACTTGAACTTAAGTCTTTTAGCGCATTCACATCTCATTACAATTCCAAACCACCACGCCACATGTCATTTTAGAATTAAAAGTGAAACAAAATAGATTTTATTAACTTTCATCTTCACATGCAATTTTACACAAGCAATTTTATAAAGTAACTTTATGAAAATGACTTTTAGAAAAACACTTTTTAAAAGTACTTTTACACAAAAGCACTTTTACACGGAAGCACTTTTACACGAAAGTACTTTTACAAAAACACTTTTAAGGAGGCATAAAAGCACTTTCACAAAAGTACTTTTACATGAAAGCACTTTTATGAAAGTACCTTTACAAAAACACTTTTATGAAAGCATAAAAGTACTTTTATAAAAGTACATGAAAGCACAAAAGCACTTTTACGAAAGCACTTTTCTGGAAGTACTTTTATAGAACTACTTTTGTGATGGCACTTACGAAAGCATTTTTATAAAAGTTATGCATTTTTTGTTATTTTTGTAATTTTTGGTATTTTTCTGCATTTTATGCAAATTTCTGGTATTTTTCTACATTTTCTAAAAATTTCTGGTATTTTTTTTCTGCATTTTCTACAAGTTTTTGATGCTTTTCTACATAATTTTTGCATTTTCTGGTATTTTTCATGCATTTCCTGCATTTTTCTAGTATTTTTTGCATATTTTCTACAAAAGTTCTGAATTTTTTGCAATTTTTTAGTTTTTTTTTGTAATTTTCTGAATTTCTTTTGTATTTTTTCTACTATTTTCTACATTTATCTACAATTTTTGCATTTTCGGGTGTACAAGTAGACCTGACTTGGTTTTGAGAGAGATTATTCTCTCCAAAATTATTATTTTGGGTATATGTGCCGTCCCAATCCATTTTTGTATTTATAGGTGAGGGTAGGTGGGTTAGTATGGATGAGGGTGATTAAGGGTCAATATAGATGGATCAAGTGGGTCAATATGGGTGAGTCACGATGGGTTAGGGTTTGGGTGGGTTGTGACCCTTTAACAAGGATGATGGGTTGGTGGGTCAATATGGGTGGGTTGGTATTCAACCCTTACCTAACCAACCCATTTACCACCCCTAAATACCATTCTTTTTTTCGGAAAGTTACTTAC